TGAAGATATCCCTTGTTACTGGTTATGAAAAAACAATATGATGAAAATGCTATGTTTCCAAACTTTTCATACAGATTTCATGCAATCCCAATCAAAATTACAATAGCATATCTCACAGAATTAGAGAAAGCAATCCTAAAATTCACTGGAACCAGGGGCTGGGGATTTAGCTCAGCAGGCATAAGTGCCTGCCTGGCAAGTTCAAGGTCATGAGTTCAATCCCCAGCACCACCACCACCAGCACCACCCCACCAAAAAAAATCATTGGAACCAGAAGATACCTAGAGTAGCAAAAGCAATTCTGTATAACAAAGGCAAGGCATGGGACAGCACAATCCCTGACTTGAAATTGTACTACAAAGCTACTGTGTTAAAAACAAGATGGTACTGGCAAAAAAAAAAGAACAGACCTTAGGATCAATGGAACAAATTATAAGAAGCAAAAACAACTGCAGACACACTCAGCCACCTTATCTTTCACAAAGGAGCCAAACACCCTGAGAGAAAAATAGCCATTTTAATAAATGGTGCTGAAAAACTGGCTCTCCACATGCAGAAGATTAAAACTAGGCCTGTATCACTCACCATGCATTAAACTAAAATCAAAATGGATCAAAGATCTAAATATCAAAACAAAAACACTAAATCTGCTGGAAGATAGAATAGGTAGAACTCTTGAAGACATTAGGGTAGGCAAAGACATAATGAACAAAACCCTGTACATACAGAAGCTATCAAAAAGAATCAACAACAATTTAAAAGCTTTTGCACATCAGCTAGCAAACCCAGTCTGGAACCCAGTGCCTTGTGCAGAGCCCTGCCCGACTGGAACAGCCAGACCCCAACCCCCTTCCAGTGCACAGGCTGGCAAAGAAGAAGTACCATCCCCTGCTTCCTCACCCCCACCATAAGTGATTGGCTGATCTGGAGAAGCAGAGGCTGTGATGATAGCTATGGAGGTGAAATGCAATTGGATGCCGGTGGAGCATTGGTGTTTCACTAACACTGCAGGTCTAGGGCCAGGGGTCTGATCATAGGTTCAGAGGACAGCGGTACGCAGTGTGGCATCTGGGGAGTCTTCTTCTGAGGATTGTAGCCATTGCTGATTCCCTATGGTCTTGTTTCAAAAGTCCCACATTGTTTCCATTGTTTTGTTGGGTTGGGTTTTATTCTCTTTTATTTTGTTTGATTATGTCAAATCTGATAGCAGGAGCAGCTGTTGCAAGACAGCAAGACATATTATGGTAACAATTTTGAATTTGCTATTGGCTTGTTTCGAAGTCCTTTATCACATTCATTGTCTTGTTTTTATTGTTTCTACTCTACTCTGTTCTGTTTGATTTTTAATATGTCTGAAGTTATCTGCAGCTATTTTGAAGACATCAAAAGGCATTGTGGTAACTATTGTTTAATGTATAATGTTTTTGAGCCTATATCTCTTACACTGGTTTGTTTAGATTGGTTATATTGTTTTATCCTCTTTAAAATAAAAGCTTTTGCACAGCAAAAGAAATTACCAACAGAGCAAAGAGACAACCCACATAATGGGTAAAAATTTTCACCAACTGTTACTCAGATAAAGGACTAAAAGCTAGAATATATAAAAACTCAAAAATATCAAACCCCCGCTACCAACTTTAAAGACCCCATCCAAAAATGAGCATCTGAAATGAACAGACACTTCTCAGATGAAGAAGTAGAAATGGAAAATGAATATATGAAAAAAATGGTCAACATCACTGGTCATTCAAGAGATGCAAATTAAAACAATATTGAGATTCCATCTCACCCCAGCAAGAAGGCTATTATCAAGAAATCAATCAATAACAAATGCTAGCAGGGCTCCATTCTGCATTGTTGGTGGAGTGTACACTGGAGGTAACCACTGTGGAAATCAATGTATAGATTACTCAGGAAACTAAAACTAGATTCCATTTCACCCAGCTGAGCTATTCCTCTGCTGAGTATCTTCCCTAAAGAATTTTAAAAAGCATCATAACACAGTTATACATGTATACTCATGTTTACAGCAGCATAGTTTGCAACAGTTAAATCTATTTTAACCCAAATGCCCATCAACCAATGAATGGATAACAAAGATGTGTTTTTTATACAATGGAGTACTACTCTGTCATGAAGAAGGGTAACCTTGAGATATTTCTAGCTAGATAGATGCACCTTGCTTGAGACAATACTCTTAAGAAAAAAATAAATTGGACATGTGTTTAAATACCATGTTGTTTCTCTGGTGTTAGAAACTGAAAGTGTAACTAAGGACCTAGTTATATAATAGATATTGAGAAATGGGAAGAAAATGTTCAAACCAGAAGGGCAACAAGGGAGGAGGGAGGGGAAAGGAAGAAAGGGAGAAGAAAAAAATAGAAGGAAAAGTAGAAACAAAGTTGCTACAAATGAGGAGGGCAAGAGGGGTTGAAGGGAGGGAAGGAGAATGGGGAAAAAAGCAAGATATGTCATGTACAGGTACAAATTCCCTAAGAGAAATGTTATTATTGTGTATATCTAAAATGTACCAATAAAGTTTTAGGAAAAGAAAAACTAGGAGAAAAAGTATTTCTTAAGCATCTATTAGTGACATGCAGTCATGCCCAGAATTCAGTAGCCCTGCTCGTATGGGGTAACAGCTTACTAAGAAAAGACAGATAATGAATAGGAATAAACAAGGAAACAAGCTAGTGAGGGACACACACTTCTGACAGAAGTGGAACTGCAGAGGGCCTAGAGCCGGCTAAAGGAGCAGAAAGTGGCAGGAAAGGCTAGAGCAGACGAAGGGAGTGCCTGAGTGTCAGCAAGCACTCAGTCCTCTGACGCCTTGGGAGAGGTCTACAGTCAAGGGTGTGGGCCTCGTATTAGTTTTACAGAGTGGCAAAGCTTGGCATGTTTGAGAAGGAAGGTGAAAGTGTCCCCTGGTCGTAGCTAACAACAGAGATGAGAAGGATAAGAATCAATCAAACTCAAGAGCATATTAAAGGATACATATTGCCAAGGAGAGCTTTATCCTAGGGGCAAAACCTAACTCAATATTAGACAAATTAAATCTAATTCTCCATAAAATAATTAATCTAATAATTTATTATCAATTTGGTAATTAATAATCTATTATCGCAAATACAAAAAGCATTCAGTAAAGTTCAACATTCAGAATTATTTTTTTTAAATCTCAGTAAGTTAGGAGTAGCGGTTTCCCAAAATAAAATAGGGTATCTATCAGAAACACTGGTGAAATGTCAGAAGCATTTCCACAAAAGGAGTATGAGACAGAGTTAATTAACAGTAGTCATTATTGTCCTGGAGGCCAAAAGACAAAGTAAATTAGAGCTATAAAAACTGGAAAGGAAAAAGTAGTTCATTCTTTGTAGGCAGTCTGATTGCCTGCCTTAAAAATAAAGTCCAAGACAATGAACTGAAAACTATTAGAATAAAAAGTTCAAAACTATGGACAGACATATCACCAGTATGCCAGTACTGGTAGGCACGATACCTGTAGCTCTCCTGTGTATTGGTACTAATTAATTTAATAATAATTTTTTAAAGATTCAATTTTTAAAAGATTCAAAACTCCTAAAAAATATATTTACAAATATATTTACAAATAACTAAAGAACTTTACCGAATAACATAAACATGTACATAAATGAAATAATAAACCATATTCCTGGCTGAGAATTCAATACTGAAAATATTCTGAAGTTTCCCTACACTGATGCACCAAGGCAATTCTGATATAAATGTGACAGCATTTTTTATTCAGGTCTTTTCCTATCAGATATCTAAACACACTGTAAACTATAGTAATTAAAATAATCTAGCTCTGGTGCAGATATTGACAAACTGATCAGTGGAACAGAATAATAAACCTAGAAATAAACTCAAGTGTATATGAAAATTAAGTATATAATAGAGACAATAATTCAAATTAGTGAAGAAACCACAGACTAACTCACAAGAGGTAGTGGACAAAGTAGTTACTCATCTGGGCAAAGGGGAGTTACGAATGTAATAGATTCACACCACCCATCCACAGAAGATAAACTTTAGGTAAATTAAAAGGTAAAGATATAAACATAGTAGAAGAAATATAGGGGAAAGAAAAGGTGAACTTTTTCAATTCAAGGTCAGGAGGAGGCTTTCCTAAGTAAGAGAAAATCTAGAAACAAAACGTATCCCAGACTTAATCTCATAAAAATTGTAAAGCTTATGTAAGTCAAAATACTTCGTAAACCAGATTAAAAAGACCAGGAAACTTTATTTGCAACATACTTAAAAGGCACAGGATTAATATCCAGAGCACATAGTTTCTAACAAAAGAAAAAGACAACTAAAAAAAGTGTAGCAATTCACAGAAAATATAAACACAGCTAAGCACAAAGCTACATTTCTCATATCCATAGGGGAAAAGAGCATTGTTTGACGTGACATAAAAAGATTGGTGATAAATACAGGCACCCTCATACCCACTGTGGTATAAACTGGTAAAGTCAATCAACAAGGCCATTTGAAAACATCATCAAGATTTAAAATGTCGGAATCAATTAACTGAACTCCTTCACTGCTGGGGCTGTTTCCAAAGGAAATACTTGTTTGTGTCAACATCGTATATAGAATTAAAAGTGTAAACTCCATCCGATGTACTATCCATAAGGAGGGAAACAGTTACTACTTATATACAACCCATCTCAAACATTTCTGATCTGTCATTCTCATAAGAGACTTCCCCAAGCCCTCCAATCATTCGTGTCATTGGCTTGCATATTCCTTCTTTACAGATAAATCAACGGTTTAAAACAAAAGCTAAGGTCTGGCCAGGGGACAGATGTCCACACCTTAATGCTTGGCTTCTCACCCCCTATCTGCCTCCCTCCTGCAACCACCCTGAAGGGAAAAGAATTTAACTAATAATAACAGACTCAATCCATGGCAGCCTACAATTCATCCTTCAGAGAACCACAAGCCTGTAAAATCAAAACAAAGGACAAAATTCAAACTAACAATGTCATCTTTTATTTTTAGTTATTAAAATACTTAACAGGCTTAATATTTTTCAGTTACCAAGCGTAGTACTTCCCATCTGGCATTTAAGTGAGCTTTACAGTAAGCTTGTGAATTACACAAAACAGAAGTTATTTTCCCATTTCATAAGTAAGGAAATTGAGGTTCAAAAAGGAAATGCAGGGATCCTTAAATTCCAAGGCAAATAAGAAGCAGAACCAAAACTGAGCCTGGGCTTTGTGACTTGGAGCATTTTTCCTCACGAATCTAGCGTGTGCCTAAGGAATTACTCATGCACCATTTATCCAGAATTGAAGCTGGGAAATTCGAGGCTCAGGAACTCTGTCCCTCATCCAACAATGAGAAAACTTGATGTCCTCACACCGGCCTCTGACCACTCTTCCCGGAGCCTGTGAGCAGGAGGCCTTCCCGAGGACACTGTGCCTCTCCTGCAGAGACTGTTCCAGACCAGGCAGGATTGGTTCCCTGCCTTGGAGGAGCAGAGACAGAGCCTCTGAGTGGGAGGAAGGAACCTTTGGGAGTTAGCTGTGCTATTCTTACTGTTTTTACTCAAACATGAATCTTTGTTCTTTGATGCAAATTTTGAGAAATTGGTGCCAATCTGCTCTGAACAAAAGAATTTCGGTCTGAACAAACAAAATTCGAGATAAGTCTGGTTTGCCTCGATGTATTCTTGGGCATCTGCCTTCCCCACCCCCTCCCAACACCCCCCAGCTTGGATCCCTCCCAGAGGTAGACAAGAAGTTTGAGAAAAGCCTGCTGGGTTGTTTACCAGTTACAGAAGACTAGGAGAGCCCGGGGGTGCCTTATGTCGAGGTGCCTTGTGTCGAGGTTACTGAAATAAGTATCTTTAGTGTGTTTCAGAGATTGAGCCTGACCGTAAGGGTCCTTCCTCAGCACAGGAAGACCCTAGGATTCTGTGAATGGGGGAAGCCTTAAATAAATGGTCTCTACTTCTTCTGAATGAAATTTTCTATGGGCTTTATTGTCTACAACATCATATTAGAGACATTACTGTAAATATGTATTTATTAAGCAAATAACACTTTACAAAAGTATGCATTTCCATGTTCTCTCATATACCAAAAAAAATTATAAATGGATCAATTTTTTTCTGTCAGCCCACTTTGCATGTCACAAGTGTTTGTGTATATTGCTATATGGATTTTCTAATTATTTTAATATCTTCAAATTGCATTCTGTTGTTATGCCTCAGTTTATGTAATATTTTATGCTTGGATATTGAATTTTTCACAATTTTACTGGAATTATACATAATACTTCTATGAGGTTCCTTGTGAATAGGGCTTATTTATCTTCTATAGATTACTTGAACATTATAAGCGTATTGGATAGAAGGATTTGCATGTTTTGTAGAACTGACAAACATTTAAAATGAAAGTCCGTCTGCTTACCTCGGTACAATACACTGATCTCAACTTTGCTACTGTTATTCACAAAACTACATTTGTCTTTTTATACTTTAGTACATATGGTTATGTTTACATTGTATTTTTATGTTTTAATATTGTGTGTAAACAATCCCATGCTTTACTTTTAGCCCTTTTTATTATCACAAAGATTGGGCACTTTAAAACACATTTATGTTCCGGTGGAAAAAACATGACCTAGAAGTTCATAAAATAAATGTCCAATAAGTCACCCTACGCCTGCCACTTCCAGCAATAGATTTTGATCTTAAGTCTAGGGATTGAACCTCTGTGTCAGATCTCTCTTTCCTGGCTTCTGTATGCCTGAGGAGAGCAAGCATGGCAACTAATTTCTTTTTTAATTCCAAACCCCGCCTCAGCCTCACTGAGCTGGTCTCCAAGAGGGCCATGGGATTCTGCTCTGTGCAGATGCTCTGTGGTTGGATTTTTAAATACGCTTCCCAGGGAGGGAGTTTGTCACTGAGGAAGTTTGGATGCACCTGGGCCGCAGGGCATCATATTTCTACCTACCTGAGGAAAATCCCAGTCAGTCCTATCTAATGGTAAGCACTCCTGTCCGTGAAGTGTTTGTTTGGAGACCAGATAATTACAGCTGTTTCTCAGGAGACTCCAGAGCAGACTGGAAAAGCAAAAACTCCAGGCCCCTTTGATTTGGGGAGCTGCCTCTCCAAGGTGGCTTCAGGACTGTGCCGAGCAACGCTTAGAAGCAGAATTGAATCCTTCCTGTCTCCTGGGCCTGGCTCTGCAGGTTTGAATAATAAAGCACATAGAACACAAGCATAGCTGAACATTTTCCTGTTCGTCCCTCCAAGAAGATACGCAATAGACTTTGAATTTGTCGTAGAACTGGGAAGGGAAGCTAGCAGATGCTCACGACAGTCAGGAAGTTCTAGAACTTTTAGCCACTTCCAGCCTTCAGTCAATACTGGGTGATCCAAGCCCCTGACAACCCTTGAAAATCCTTCTTCACAATTTATACAAAACCCAGTCAATTACAATGGGGTAGGTGAGACTCCAGCAAAACTGGTCCTCCTATCGGTGAATTCAAAGTATCACATCCGTTTGGTGAGTAAAGGAATGCGAGTCTGCTACAGGCTTAAAAAGCCTTTTAAACACCACTTGACACTTCATTACCATATTTAAATATCCTCCCTTTCAGAAGTGTTAGATTATTTCTACTTTTTACTTTTATATGATGCTGCTGCAATAAATACATTTATCTACATAGCTTCATCCACATACCCTGTTACTTTCTTTTTTATTTAATGAAACTTTTTTTTGTCTTTTTCCTTTTTATCGGTACCGGGGATCAAACTCATGACTGCCTGCTTGCAAGGCAGGCGTTTATGCCACTGAGCTAAATCCCCAGCCCCGAAACTTTTTTTAAAAAATCAAAGTAAACTGTACATATAGTGCAAAAATCAAAAGTGCACAGTGTAATGACTTCACAGCATGAACACAGAAACACCACTCTGATCAAGTAAAGAATATACTATGTTAGTAACTACTAACTTCTCTGAATTCATTGAAAAGAAAGGTTTGTGCTAATATTTTTCGGACAATTAAATGCAGACATCTTGTACTCTGAGTAATTAATTTAGGGATATCAATAAGCAATGTAGTAACCCATTGTTACCGTGTTTTGAAATTTATTTTTTTCTCTTTAAAATTAAAAAAAAACTTTAAAGGTTAAAAAAAAAAAAAAAAACAGTAACAAGACCAGAGTCCCAACCCCCTCAGTGTCCCTATGGAATTACCACACCATAGCTGGGAATACTGTCCCTGGCAGTCAGCTTCCTAATACTGGAGATAACCAACATTTAAAAAGGAAGGTTTATTGGGTCTCACAGTTTCAAAGACTGCAGTCCATGGCCACTTGGCCCTGCTGCTTTTGACCTTTAGAGAGCAGAAAATCATGTCAGATCACGTGTGGGGGCACCTGCTCATCTCCTGAAGTCAACGAAGCAAAGACAGGAAGAGAGGGCCACAGCCCCAACAACCCAACTTCCTTTCACGAGGCCCCCGCTAAGGTTCCACCGCCTCCCAGCAACACTGCGGGAAGTGGGTAAAGCTTCTAGCACTGGGGCCTTCAGGCGACATTTTCGATCCAAACTATAGCATTATCTTAATAATGAACACCAACAGACAGAATTCTGTATGAATTCAAATACACATGCTATGTTTATACAGTTCCTTCTTTATATTATATAAATTATATATTCACCAGCATATTTTATACTTACATGAAGTCTTAGATATGCTTCTGTATATCTCATACGTACATCAACTGTAATTACATGCCTGTACTTTATTTCAATTTGATTATAAAGTCATATAGTTTTGCTCCTGTTTCCTTTTCTGTCAATATGCTTGTAAAATTCATACCTGCTTTGGTTTTGGTTGACTTTTTCCACCGAATGAATGGGCACAGTTTTTCATACTTGCTCCGCGTTTCTACCTCTTAGGGAAGGCTGCAGCCTCTCAGAAGCTGGTCACTCCCGGCCAGGAGCAGGAGGCCTCTTGGTCTGTTGCTGTCGGTGGGAAGTAGAATTCCCTGGGGAAAAGCAGCAAGTATTTTTTTTTAAGCCATTGTTTTCCACAAAAGCTGTGACAATTTATGCCAAAAAACATCAAGTATGTTTTAGGGAAGAGTGTCGGAAATATCCTCCTCATAACAAAAAATACCAGTGCTACTTACTAGTAGCATTTTGTAAGTGTAAATATTAAAATGCTGGTGTCACTTTTTACGAAGTCCCTTTTGCTAATGCATTACTTAGTTCTCCAAAACTCAGTTTCATTTAGTTACTTGCCATTTCTGGGCCTGTTACTGCTGCTGTTTGCTCAGTGCAGAGCCTCTTCTGATCTGTTCACCCGGACCCAGTGTGTAGAAGAGTCCCCGGTAGCAGTGAATCAATTAACAGTTGTTGAATAAATCAGTGAATCAAGATGCATTTTCCTGCTGAGTTCAGGCATAACGTTTCTGCCACAATGTCACAGTCATTTGCTACAAGGAACAGAACTGAAAGATGGCATAAAACCTTTTTCACCTAACTTCCTTGCCTAACTTTCCATTTTACAGGTGGCTAAACTGAGGTGCAGAACAAGCCACAGCCCTGTCTCAAAGCCACAGAATGACTGGGTTAGAACTGAGGCTGACACCTGATCCTGGTGCCCATCATTCTGCCTGCCCTCCCCACCACAGGGAAACGCTGTCCTAAACAATCAGCCTCTGAGCAGAGGGGCAGGGCCACTGTGCTCTGGGAACCTGCCTGTGAATTACACACCTAATTACCAGCTGCCATTTTTCCTCTCTCTGTGAGTAAAAGTCTGATCACACATAAGATTTTCCTTGTGTTTCCGTGGATACAAAGCGATCCTAATTTCAAACCCCCTTGCAAATAGCAAAGGAATGAACTTAATTTTAATTTTAAAAAAAGGAAAATCATATGTGCAAGCTTAATAAAATCTAATTTGGGCAATTTGAAGCTCATAAAATAAAGCCTTTATGTAAAAACGAGCAATTAGCTTTATGAGACAATACAGTGAACCCCTGGCACTGGAAGGGTTGGGAGCTGGAGGCTCCAAGGATAAACAGATCTGACAGGGATGTAGGAAAGCTAGAATTCGAGTCCCTAGGCCACCACTTCTGAGATCTACGACCTTGAGTCGGTTCCTTTCCCCATCCAGACCCCGGTCTCCTTGTTTGTATAAAGAGGGAATAAACCCTAATAGAACTACTGCAGAGATGAATAAGAAAACAAACCGGCGAGAGCTTTGCAAAGTGTCCAAAAACCACTATTTCACCATCTGACATCTAACCTTCACAGCAAAGAGAGGAGGAAGGAGGCTGTGGACAGTCTCATCCGGGGCCAGAGACACGGGGTACAGAGGAGGTGGGGGCAGGTGGGTGACCCTCCACATTCACCCGGCATTAAGACATGGGGAGCCCAGGACAGTGAACAACTACGAGAACCAGAAGCAAATCTCCAGGTCAGATTGAGTGTGGGGCAAGACCCGAGTCTTGCTCCGGACAAGCAGTCCCCTGGCCCTGAGCGTCTGCACCAGACAGATGCGTCTTACACAGAGGTCTTTGCAGGCGGCTGTCTCTCTGGCATTTAATGAGGGGGGAAATGAAGTACTGAGGTGGGACAGTGCCTGGTGCTACACCTGAACCACTCAGGTGACCCAAAAAAGGCTCCAGCCAGATTTCCTGATTCGACCCACCAGCCCCCTTCCCAGATATCTCATGGTCAGCAAAGCCGCTCTCTTAGAGCCTGAGAATGGCTATGTACCTTCTTCCCCAAGGGTCTTCACAGCTTCTGAAGGAGCTGCTGGGACCCACAAAGAGCTCGGTGTCCATCACAGAGGTGCCACCAAGCACTGGCTTTTCCCTGTCCTTCTGTGAAGCACCCAACCGCCACTCCAGGCAGAAAGCAATTTCTCCTAGTGCCTTCCCACAAGCAAAGTGGGTAATTAATTGCACTGAATAACACATTAAATGTACTAATAATTGGGTAGTCACAGCAAAATGATTACTTTGAAGAAATATTACTGATTCCCTGTTGTACTTAACATTTCCCCTTATTTATCATTACCATTTTAATCAATAATAGTCACAATACTAATAAATCCATCTTAATTTTAATTGTTTTCAATTGGATGTACCAGTACTTGAGTATTCCAAGCATACTTCATTATTTATATTAATTTAAGATCACTTAAAGGCAAATTGCATAGTTTGTACTTTCAAGCAGGCAGGTAATTATGACAAAGTTTCTCCAGACTCAGCATTTTCCAACGCTGAGTTGCACACAGTGTCAGGCATCTGCTCTTCTGTTAGGGGACACCATCAGGGGTGCAGGGGTAGAGGAGATGCAGGACCCACTGAATTAGCATATCCTGGCCTTTTAGAGAAAGCTTAGGTCTCTGAAATTTGATGAACAGCTCGGGGCTCTTACTTACACTGTCTGGATACTAACGCAGCATCCCTCCGTTCGTTCCCTAGGACAGAGGCCAGGCCTAATGCTAGGCCCCAGGAGACAGGGAAATGCAAAGGTAAGGAAGTTGTTCTGTGTCCAGAGTCCTGAAGAGAGGTTCTAAAGGATGGCAGCAATCGAGGAGCAGAAGAAGTAAGCAGCATACAGCCAAAGGAACGGAGCGGGGAGTTGCTGCTGGAGGTAGAGAAGGCTACTTTACCATTTCTCCTCAAGGGGTTGCAGGGTAGGAGGAAGGGTCTTGCTACATTCCTGGTGGAAATATAAACCGGTAAAACCACTATGGAAATCATTATGGAGATTCCTCAAAACATTAAAACTACAAGTTTCATCTGACCCAGGTTGTTTTCTCCTAGGTATCTTCCCAACAGAGCTAAGGACATCATACTACAGCAATAAACACATACCCATGTTTACAGCAGCACAATTCATAGGAATCAGTCCTTGGAAATAGCCCATAGGGCCATCAACAGATGGACACATAAAGAAAATGTGGTATTTACACATACTGTAGTACTACCCTGCCGTAAAGAAAGAGAAACTTCCATTTGTAGGACAATGGATACAACTTAAGACCATAATGTTAAGTGAAATAAATCAAGCGAGCAAGTTTAAATATAGCAGGGTTGCTTTTAGGTGAGAGACCCAAAATTCAATAGAGAACAAAATAAAAGATACCAGGAAGTAGGGAGATAGATCTGTTGCAAATGGGAAGAGGATCAAGAGATGGAGGAGAGAGAAGGGAGGGACAGGGAGTAAATTAGATGTGTTCTGTACGCGTACCAACTCCACACAAAGAATGTAAACATTACGCACCGCGAACATGTACTAATAATAAGAAAGGAGCTGGCAGGAAGTGGGGGAGTGGAGCCCAGCTTTGGGAGGGAGCCAGGGAGATGACTCAGCAGGTTGAGGGTTTCCAGCAGTAACAGCAGAGGTGGCAGGAGAGAAGGCCCACAAGACAGAACCTCAGTGAGGGCAGCACTGGCGTCAGTAGTGGCTTTGAGGGGACCCTCAGGGGTCAGCATGAAGAATGAAGAAAGAGGGGAAGTGGCGGCAGGGGGCCAGGTCTAGGAGGGAAGAAGTTGGATTTCTCAGGTGCTCACTCGGTGTGAGAGGCCGTGGGGCGGCCAGGTGCAAAACTATACAGGTAAAGTACAGAGGCTGGCTGGAGCCCAGGGGAGCGTGGGCACAGGGGAGGCCCGGGACTCCTCCAGAAGTGAGTTTCCTAGGAGGGGAGTGGTGGCCAGAACCTGAGGCTTGGTGAGCTTCTGCTCACAGGTATGCACCCGTGTGTCCGTATCCCCACCACTGTCTGCTGGCCCCCTTGGAGGGCCCAGCCTGGAAAGTGAAGCATCTCTGCCCCTTCCCTACCCAGGCCTGGCACACAGGGCAAATCTTCTGAATCAAACTGTATCAAATCGCACTGTAAGACAACAGCGTTTCTATGGCTCCAGGTTGTGGTTTCATCCTGCCACTGTCCAGGCCAAGGTCAAGGACTGCAGGCCCCAGCACAGGGGTGCTGGGAAAGATGGCTGTCAACAAGGATGGTGGATCTCTGCCTCCGTGGCCGCCCTGGAGTTGGAGTACCAAGATCCAGGCACCAGCAATAATTTGCTAGCGTGGTTGCAACTGGTGCTTATGATTTCAAGAAACCTACAAGCTATGAGAGAGAAATTTAATGGGAAAGAGGCTCCACCTCCTGGTAATAGTCAAAATCAACATTTCTTCAGCACTTCCCACTTTGTAAGCTAAGGTCAGATTTTCAAATCTCCTTTTAGCTCTGTATTTTGATCTGGGTGGTGGTTACCAGGTGTCAACATATATTAAAAAACCACAGAGATAACAGCTAAGATTCATGTACTTCAGCCTGTGTTATTAATGCCGCAATAAAAAAGTATAAATAATACTTCAAATAAGTAAATATTTATTTAAGAGAGTGGATAAGTAGTATCTCATTTAACCTAATTGGTCCATAAAGTTAGCAACTTTATCATCTGCAAGTGAAGGTCCCTGAGGCTGAGCAGTTTGCTGCAGATTCATGGCTGATGAGAGGAAAGACTGAAAAGCCTGAATGGCCTGATGTGAATTGCTCTGGTCCTACCTGGACACCAGGGACTACAGCAGCGGGAACTGAGCTCAGAAGAACCTGTCCTGTACCGAGGCACCTTAGAGTCTTTGGGGATGGAGCAGCTGTCCCTACTTGCTCTCTCATTCCTGGAACCCAGGTTTGGCCTGAGCAGACATTTTTCTAGAAACACATTTGTGTTCAGACCACAACTCAACAGGGGCAAAGTCACAGTCTCTGCATCTCTGCAGGCTTCCCAGTTGTTCCCCACTGCTCCCCAAAGTTCCCCTGCAGGTTGTACAAAATAAGTTGTACCAGCAGCCATGGCTTGGGCAAGCTGCAGCCGCCCCAGAAACAGAACCACCCAGCGTCTCCCAAGACCTGAGCCATGCTGGAACTTAGGGTGCTGGGAAACCAAGCAACCCACTCGTCTCCCTGGTAAGCAGCCTTGAGTTTACTGGCGAATGGGCTGAGAATAAAACTTCCCTTCCCACCCCCTCCTGTTAGCCAGTGGGAGCCAGAGGTCAGAGCATCTCTTGGAAGGATGACCTTATGCAATTCAGCAAGTATGGGGGATTTCCTTCTACCATCTCTTTGAAGGCAAATATTATCACTATTTTGTTTTGTTCTGACTAATTGTATTGCTCTATTCAATATTGTTTTGATAGGTTCTCAATGTTCTGTGTTTGGTTTGATTTTGCTGTCCCTGATTGAAAGAACAACTATTGTGAAGATAACAAGATATACTATGGTACTGTTATCCCGGTAACCTGCTGTGAAGTTCCGTACCAGCTTCACTGCACTGTCTCGATTGGCTTCTGTCTTGTTCTGTTGTATTTTACTACCTTCAAAATATTAAAAAAAAATAAGTCATACAAGATAAAGCCAGCCTGAGCTTGGTGACAGGTTAGACACTGTGCTTTACTGCATGTTAAAGAGGAGAAGCTACCAAGCATCAGAAGCTACCCAGGCCTGGGGCTTTTGGAAGGGTCAAAGAAGCTAGTCTTCCCCTCTATCGAGTGTGGGAACAAACTCTTTAAAAAAGAAAATAGAATGTGATGATAGAAGAATGTGAATGTGGGAATCCTGAGCAAAAAGTAACTGACTATGCAGCGGAACCAAGAAAGCCATCGTATAAGGAGTCTTGAGCTGGGCTTCAAGGGCTTAAATAAAAGTTAGGTGGGATGTGTGTTCCAGGCAGAGGGAACAGCATAAATTAATATCCAGGGCCCAAAGAGTATGAGATGAGGGCAGACCAGAAAGGCAGGGAAATGTTAAATCAAGAAGGGACTGGAAATCTGATATCTCCTTCTACTTGCAAGAACTCTTTCCGGGGTACCTCTGTGCCTCACAATTTAGACAGACTGGAGAAAAAGCATCTCTGGTCTCAGTGGACCATTACGTGTTTGCAATCCAGATGTGACAGGCTTCTGTTCTTGTCCTTCAGGGTGCATGGCCCCTAGACCTCCCACCCTGGACACCATAGGAGTCCTGAAAGCATTAGTAATTTAGCATTGTCTTCGCTACTCTGGTTTGCATCCTCCTCCTCCTAGTCTGGTCAGCAGTGCCCACTGTAGAACTTGTCCTCCTCTAGGCTCTCAGCTCATCCTTAACTGAGAAGGAGGTTGAGCTTGTGTATTTATTTATTTATTTAGTCCCAACCAGCATCCTAAATCCATGTTTGCAATAGTCCTGGGCAACATGCGTTTGAGAAATTATCTAGTATCATGCTCTGGAAGCAAGGCGGAAGGGCCGAATGTGCCACCTCTAGAGTGGAGCTATCCAGCAGTGCTGGTCACTTGGTTTATGGCAGTCTTTGATACTTGGAAACCTTTTCCCCTTGGTGCCTGAGAACATGAGTCCACTCCATTTCTCTCCAACTTTCCGGCATCCAGATAGGATTGAATCTCTGTGAGCTATTAGTTTTCTACATGATACACAGGCTCTGGATTTCTGTCTTCATGTCTGCAAGGTCCAGATTCCCAACTTGGGTGATGGACCCACCTGGGGACATGGCATTTGACAGAGGGAAAGGGACTGACTCATGCTTCCTGGGGCTCCTGGGTTCAGGTTACAGACAAGTCAGATGGGGTAGGGAGACACACCTTTCTGCCTAGTCTACACATTTTTGAAGCAAACACATTTTTGAAAAAACCCACGTTCTCTGGCCCAGGGTTTTATTAGGATTCCAGAAACTGCTTCTCAAATAACTCATATCTGTGACTTTATGTTCTTTCCCTTCCACCCAGCCACCTCCAACTCAAACAACTTCTCCCCACCGAACCTGATTCCACCACTGGTCAGACCGAGACAGGACAGGACCTGGGGTCTGAATCAGAGTCCAAGTTCATGATGAAGTCTTAAGCAAAATCCTCCAGAGAGACTTCTATTCACCTGCCAATGGACTCAAGTGTAACTCCCTCGGGGTTGATCAGTTGTTTATGCATTACCCACGACCCTCATCATGTATGTCACACCCCACTCCGGAGTGTATGAGGGTGTCTGTAACCCACCCCTCTTCTCTGGAGGTTATGCAAGAGAACAAACGTCCTGCCGCTTTGTAAATGACACCACCTGTCTCTCCATCATCACGCTAATATGCCAGTCTAACATTCAAAATGCCTGCAACCAGAAACCACAAGATAATTTAGACTGAAGGCTTTGGAGTTTGCCCTGGACCACTTGCCAGTTTCGTGAAATCCTTTAGCTCTCTTGAGCTTCCTCTTTTCATCTACAAAATGGGGACAAGAACAATTTTTCCTCTGAGAGGTGTCTGAAGGAATACAGTAGGTGAAAGAAAGCATCTCAAGGAGCTTCCTGAGCCGGCTGGCACATAGTAAGTGCTCAACAAATGTCAATTATTCTCAGGAGGAGGAGGAGGAAGAAGAGGAGAGGAGGAGGAGGAGGAGGAGGGCCACAACGACATGGCCCATGCCCCATCAGAGAAGCCCTACCAGAGCAGGGACAAACCCACTTTCCTCACCTGCAGGAGGGGAGCTGGCCCTGCTGGAGCGCCTCCTGTTTATCCCTCGAGGCTTCCTCTGGGCTCTTCTCCCCAGCAGCTGCTCTGTCAGCAGGCCATATGCTGCCTGGGCTACGAAGCAGCTTTCGAGCCGGGGCTGCCAATGGCGCAGGAGAACTTTGACGCTCAGTTCAGGGGCACGCGTGCACTGTCGTCAATCACGCCGCCCCTGCCAGTCTCTGGCTTGGTCCCCGATCCAGCCTCGCCCGCGCCCTCTGTGCGCTCGCTCGTGGGCGAGGAGCAGCGAGCAGAGGGGCTGGGTTCCGGGGAGAGGGTGCGCGTGGCAAGGAGGCCAGCTGGAGGAACAGGAGGGGACAGATGCCATGGGGGCCCGGATTTGTTCCTGCAGGAAGAATGCAAGGAGCTAATTGTCTCATTACCCAGGCGCAGCTTCTCCGTGGCCCTGCCCCGCCGTGCGGAAAGCTCTTCCCAGGCTGGGCGTGTGGGGCGTGCATGGGCTGCTCTGGGGAGAAAGGGGGGCCGGTGAGCTAGATTCCCGGCAGCCTGTGCTGCAGAGTGAGTTCTAGCTCCGGGTCCCCAGCCGTGGAAATGGTGCTTCACACAAACTCAGTCTTAGGCTTCACATCACTCAGCTTAGTTCCCTGCTGGAGGAAAGTCAACCAAATGTATCCCTGGCCCTGGCACCACCCTCAACGTGAACACCCGCACACCCACTCACACCCTCACACCCTCACACCCCTGCCTTTTATCCCGTTTACCCTGAGCCCCGATCAAGCTTCAGTCCATTCTTTAGAAACTAAAAGTCCTTGGGCTCCAGCTTGTTCTTGTCTGGGCTGGGTGCCAGCCCCTCGGGACTCCCTGGCCTTTGCAGTGCTGGGCCCTCCCCCAGAGGCCCTTGGTACTCACGTATCTGTCCACTGCCTTCTGTGCTGCTTTCAGGGATGCGTTCAAAATCCACCTTTCTCTTGAGCTTTTGTCAAATGTCTTTCCCGCCTTTCTGCCTCTAATTCAACACTTTGTAAGACGAAAAGAAAGGCAAATGGCCTGTGTCCCTTACGGTGAGACTCCACCCACACTCTGCCGTCTCCATCTCCAAGTGACACCAGGTGAAGTAAGTGGGCAGGATGGCTGGTGGGCTTCATCTCACGTTGCCCTCAGACGGTAGATGGGAAGAGTGTTTACAGTCCACTCGCACATGCTGGTTACACCCAGGAGCTCTTGAAACGTAGGTGACCAGACCACACTTAGCTGGCCAGCCCTTGTAGACGTGATTCTGAAGCCCTGCCAGTGGACACTTCCGGCTCACCTTTGCCAGCTCCTATTACCCTTGCAGGGAACTCTGACCTGGTCTGAAGGGTACATGGTCGCATGTAAGAGACACAGTTATTGTGTGATTAACCAGATCGTAGGGGCCTGCTTTTTTGTGTGTAAGTTTTGCATGGCTACCTCCTAGTTGCCAGATGGCTGCTCACTTCTAATCTCATATTTGTATTCCAGGGGAAAGAAAAAGAAAGAAAAGAAACAAGATGGAAGGGGTAGTACATTTTAGTTCATAAGTTATTACACTAGAAAGTAAAATCTTTACCAAAATATCCAGCAGGTGTCTACTTCGACTTGACCAGAACAGGTCACATGACTACCCTCGGCCCGGAGGGAGACTAGAAAATGTGGTTGTTTTGTTGGGTTTATTGCTGCTCCAAACAATATCAGGATTCCATTAATAGAACAAACTGGGGAATGATACAAACGTGATTATTCCTTCAGGTGGGCCTCGCTCACTAAAAGACTGGGCTCCAGGAAGTCAAGGGGTGTGACTAGGCCCACAGCTGTGTCTCCAGAGTAAAGCCCAGTGCAGACTCACGGTGAGTACTCCATACAGATATGATATATGGAAGGACGAATGAATGGATGCTAAAGTCATCACTATTAAAACATTTCAAGCACTTGATGGGCTCAAGGGGCGGGTCCTCGGCTTTTCCACACATCCAGTATTGACCAGAGTCTAAAGGCCTCTGCCCCTCTTTCTCTCACAATGGCCCCCCGGGCTCAGTACATTACTTGGTACATTGCTGTACCTTACTTGGGTAACCTCAGTAGTCACTGTGTGATTGCCATAAGTCAAATCTGCAGCGTTTCATTCTGGATTAGCTGGAACATAGCCTACAAACTTTAGTTCACAAATTAATAGCTGATTTTGAACCATGAGGTTAAAAAAGAATACCCAATGTTGAAATATATCACCTATGATTATTCAGGATCAGATGTGTCCATGTGTAACATCTGACTGAAATCCAAATTATGATGTAAGTGTTCATTGTTAGATACATTGCACTTTGAGGAAATGGTAATTTTATACCTCCTAATAGAAAAGACATTTACATAGATAAGAAATTCTTCTTCATAAAATACTATAAGCTCCACAAATGAATAGGAGCATAAAATTTAGCCACAAGTACTCGCTTGAGTAAGTTTTAAAATAAAGTGGTTTTTATAATAACAAAGTAGGACAGATCCAGAAACTCTTTAAAAAGGAATTACATTTTAAATGCCATTTTGAGGGTGGGAAACTGGCTTTTCCTTAAGCCGAAACTCTAGGAACGTGTTCTGTGGACTGAAGGAGACAGCATGGGCCATTCTAGAAAAGGTCTTGACACCCCCTTTCACTAGTATCTCAGAGTGCAGAGTCAGACTAAAGAGTTCTCACAGCAGCACCCAGCAACAGGGTTAACTACCCCATTAACTTAACCCAATAGTCACACTGCCTTACGGTACACGTGAGATTACATTGAAAGGTACATGGATTCTTGAGAAGATTCTTGTTTTGTGAACCTCAGTTTCTTCCAGACAGTACGAATGAAAATGACCATTCTGTGTACCTTTTCAGCATGATTGTGAGAATTACAGGAGAAGAATGTGAAGCAAATTAACATGTTCATCATCTCATCATTATCCGTTTTGTTCATTCGTTTGATTTTGTGACAAGAGCAGCTGAAACCTACTCACTTAACATGAGTCCCATATTTGAAAATGTTTTGTCAATGCTAATACTATATCAGCAAGGATTTTTAGGGTTAATAATGCTTTTTTATAGGCGCACCCTGATAGGAATATCTGGGTGGAATCATGCATTCCCATCACCCCATGGGAAACGCGTATTTGATTGCAGTGATCTAGACTTAGGATCATTTAGTCCCTAGTAAGGATCAGTTGCCATCAAAACAGTACCAGGGAGCTGAGCTCTCATTCCACACCTACTACCATCCCACCCAGTAACAATGAAACAGTTATTTTCAAGCTATGAACCTCAGTCTTCTCGTCTGAAAGGTGGGGTCTCCTACTAACTATTCTCTGAGTGCACTTCAAACACCACCCTAGTAATTCTGGCTCTGCAGCACCATGCTGCCTCTGTCCTGCCCTGCCTTGCCAAAGTCTCTGACCTCTCAGGGGCTTTATTGTCAACTCAGAACCTTCTTTTAAAAACCCTGAGAGCAGCCTAATGAAGAGTCTCATAACAAGGCTGCAACGGCTCCAGTGTCTCAGTCTGGGAGAAGATTGCTGCCCACCCAGAGCCTGACGGTGGGATATCAGGGTGACCTCTGCAACTTTATCGAATTATGCCAAAAGCCCGTAAACAGGTGCTGATTTGTTAAAAAAAATAATAATTTCTGTGGCCTCCTACTCCATCCACATTAGCCATTCAAGTGTTGAGGAACAATATAAATTCATGTCATCATAGTTTATGTGACCACTAAGATTTATTCCAAGTGACAGGTCATTAAGGTTTTTTCTCTTTTATTTTTTCCCAGATTCACTGAGAACTCATATTTCTGCTCCATGTTATAGACTGCTAACAGTTACGTTTTAGACAGGGAGTCAGCAATAAATCTGAATTTAATAAACTGACAAAAGATCACTACCTCATAGATAGCCCAAGCCCCATTATGCTTCTCCTTTTTCATAAACGATTCTGTACTGAGGCATCTTCCACATAAAAGCCACGTTTGCCATCCCCCCATACAGGTTTTGCTGTTGTCAGTCAGTTTTTCACTGCTATGACCAAATATCTGAGCACAACAATTTAGAGGAGGGAAGGTTTATTTTGGCTCCTGGGTTTCAATAGTTGCAGTTCATGGTCATTGTTTTAGGTCTTTGGTGAGGCAAAAACAGAAGGTAGAAGGGCTTGGCAGTGGAAGGTCACTGGCCTCACGGTAGCAAGAAGGCAGAGATTAGAGATCCCCAGAGGATAGAGCTGAGGACAAAAAACACCCTTCAAATCCCTGCCCCCAGTGATCTGTTTCCTGCAGTTAGGGTCTACTTCCTAATAAGCCCATTCAGCTAAGGAACTTACCAATTGACTGATTCACATGATAAAGTTAGAGTCCACTGATCCAATCACCCTCTGAAATGTAGCACTTTGTGTTCAAAATGTTTCAGAACTCAAATGTGTCAGTAGTCTGTTTCACTTCTGTAAACAGGCTTGCTAGTCACAACATACACCAGAGATACAAGCTATACTCAGCCTGTTTCTGTTTCCATTTTGTTCCTTTATTTCTAAAATTCCATTCATTCACAAAAGACCCTTGCCCTCCCTCATAAATTGTATAAAAGTAAGTTGCTATACTAGCTCGGGGCTCAGACTTTGGAGTACACAATTCCTCTGACCAGGCAGGCATAATAAAGCTTGGTTCCTCCACTTTTCTGAGTGCTGTTTGGTTTCTTCACTTTTGGTAAACCTAAAATTGCACAAGACAAACACAAGACTTTCAGAGGCATTTTAGATCTAAACCCTAACAGCAGTTTCAAGACTATGTAATTATGGCTTTTCAGAACCTGAAGACCACAGAATAGTTGTGGTGGGTGGGAAGAACCAAAGTCCAGGCCTGGCCATTTCACTACTTCCCCAAATCTTATCTGCTTGCTCTTGGAGGAAGGATTAAAAAGGGTTTCTCTGAAGTTTCCTGGGAAACAGGAGTTCTCACATGATGGCTTGCCTGGGGAGGATCCAGGAACTTCTTGGCTCGGACAAGAGTTGTAATCAATGTCCTTACACCTCCTTCTAGCCATGAGAGCCTTGTGCATCTTTTTGTGGAGTGGACATTAGGGAATAAGTATTTGAGTGAACCCCACATTCAGCTCTAACTGAACTCCAGACAGGATTCTCAGTGTTTGGGCTGCAATCGTCCTCACATCTTGACATCTCTTGCAGAAGACTATCTTTAAAGATAAAGTCCAACCTTTTCCTTCATGAGGCTTTCCAAGGCACCCCGAGAACTTCAACAACTCCAATTCTCAAAGTTGTTGAGCAGAATGAGAACCTTAAAAGTTAACATGCAGACAAATACATGAAGCCTCTCCTAAATTTCTGTATTCAAATATTTTATAAACTCTTAGCAGTCTTTATGAATAACAGCTACACAAGTATTTTCCCAGTAAGCACCAGAAGTAGAAATATATAGATGT